GGGTTACCAACCAATCATCATCGTCCATAAAATACAGCAGTTATTGCATACGAAGTATGCAATAACTATATAGTATTTGTAATTGTTAAATGACTCTGGGATATGTAATAAATATTAATCTCCTTACATTGCTGTAACAAATGCTAGTCCCTTTCATTGCTATGCGTAAATATTTATTCGGTGTAGACAAATTTAACATTTAGCAAAGCTGTACTAATTTTTTTTAATTTTTATTTTCTTTGCTTACCTTATCTATTTTATTTTTTAAGTTCGTTTTTTTTTATTCTTCAGCATAAGTAACACATCATTTTTTAATTTCTCATGTCAATTAATAAATTTACGAAAACAACTATAATCAGTGTTGTCAATGAACATGAACATATAAAAAATGTGGACATGTCTATGTCCAAATTATGATATGGACATTGGACATTGTTTATGGACTGTCCATGTCCAATAATTTGCTTGGACATATGTCCATGTACAATACTGACTATAATGTAGCCTTTGTGATACTTGACCTGAATCTTGACGGTCTAAGTAATTTACAGAGTAAAAACACGAATCAACTAAAAAAAAACTCTTGGCGCATGACTTGTTGTTTTATATAATAAAAAATCTCTAGTAGAAACTACCTGCTCATATTGAATTAACAAAGAAAGCACTTAACCTAACATTACGGCTTAGCTGTGATGATGAATTTAATCATATGATGGAGAAGTTTATTTCATCTAAAAAAATATGAATTACAACTTTTAGAGAAAAACAATAATGACAATAACATTGAATCTCAACCTACTATTGAATCTCAATCTATTGTTGGCAACAAAAATTATTGAAATAATCAAGAAGAAATGAATTATGAAGGTTATAACGAAATAAAAAAAAATTTTTTTTGAAAGATAACTAGTCTCGCGTATTAATTTATTTTAAGAATAACGATAAACAGCTAAAACTAATAAATGTGCAGAAAAGGAAAAAATGTTATCGCGTGCATTGTTTAAAAAAACTCTTTTTATTATATCCCATGTAAAATATCCACAGAAATTTCATGAATTATGAGCAGCTTCTTTGAAGTCTCAGAATGCATACCATAAATGTAGAATGTGTATAAGCTCGAAAACATTTCTAGTTTGCAATAGAAGTTCTTTGCTGTACAATATACCAGGTATTTTATAAGTTTTTTTGGTTAGTTATTTTTTTTACTGGCAAGGTAAGCCAGGTTTGTTGAAAACAATTCTTCAGATGTATCTTGTACAAATGGCCAAGAAATTTTTAAACCATCAGCAGAGGTACCATCATCTTTAAAAGTAATATTTGATAAATCTCCTATATCTCCTTTGAAAATAGCATTTGACAAAACTTCTATATCTAATACACTAAGTGATAGCAATAATTGATCATTTTTGATTCCAAAAATGTAAATTGCAATACCACAAAGCAAAAATAATGCAAATGCGAAAGCAGTAAATTCTAACCAAATTCCCAAAGCAGGTATTTCTATAATTTTATCAACATTAACAGATACATTGTTTGTAAATGATTGAACAGCTGATACCAAAGATTGTGATAAAATTGAGTCAAATTCATCTAAAAAATTGAAATTAGATTGATTTCCTTGATATTTGATAGTATTTGCCCACCTAGTTTGAACAGAAGACATATTACTTATAATGGATCCAATAAGTAAATCACCATAAATTTTTCCATTTAATTCATCGGAAGATATATGATGAGAAAATAAACTTTCTAAACTATTATTAAATTTTGCATCCAATAGTACTATATTGTCAGGTGTATCACCGAATATTTGCATTTTTTTCCATGATATGGAAATATCACATGACATACTTACAGAACACTCACGGTTAAAGTTATAAGTATAACAACCTCCATTAATTAACCAATTTGCCATGTTATTAACATTTGAAGAAAAGTTAGAAGAGATAAGAAACATATTCATCGGTATATCACATCTATCTGATATGATAGTAGATAACTCAGTAGAAAGAGAAAAAGCATCTATGTTAATAATCCTTTCAGGATGAATATGTGAATTATAACCTGCAGTAAAACTATTACAATTTTCTAGGGGCTTATTTGTTACATTTTCTAATCGATTACTTCCAGCACTAACTGAAACATTATTTAAAGAGTCTGTTGTCGATCCTATTATAAAATTGCAAGTTGTGGCATTAGTTTTGGCTTGTACGGCATATAAAGTATTGTTGCCATTATTTTCGCCCCAATAAGCCTTTTGTACATTATTTTTAAGCATAGCATTTCGGATAGTTGTTGAATTAGAAACCAAAGCGAAGTTACTTTCAAAATCAGCAGTACAAGAAGAATAAGAACAATTTAAATCATTATTGAATAATATAACTTTTGAATTAATAACTTCAGTAAAATTATAAATTCCAATAATTCTAGAAAAAACAACATTTGGTATATTTTTTCCTAATATAGTTGCCATAAAAAATATGAAAATAAATATACGCATGCCCTTAGTTAATCTATCACGTTTAAGAAATGTGTTTAAAATAAGTCTAAGCATAGACCCATAAGTTGCGTCCATACACAGACTAAATTCGCTTCCATTAATTTTTTGTTTAATTTTGAAAAGTAATATCCAAGTTATAGAAATGAGTACGGGAAACAATATTGCTTCGAGTAAAGAAGCAAGTACTGTTATTGCCAACAACCAATGATTAAAACTATCAATATTAGAACTAATCCTCAGAACATGGTGTGAACTACTGATTGTCTTAAGTTGCCACATAATGCTAAAAGTTTAAACAGTTAAATTTTTTTTTATATAAATTAAAGTGATGTGTGCAATTTATTAAAAATTTAAAAAGTAGTTATGAATATTGTTCCAATATTAAAAATGGTAAGCATGAACGGTGCAGGAAATCTAAAAATCACGATTATACCTTATCCTGGCTTATCGGGGATTGGTGGAAGGCTGTGTTAATGATAGCCCGTACCGCCACTGATTGGCAACTCATACAGGGATCCTCAAATTTCCAGGTTGGAATATGATCAGACAGGAACAAGAATCTTTTTAAGTGTGTGCGAGGAGGTTTGCTTAATATTTTAGTAAGAGGTGTGATATTGGGGGTGTCTATCATTTGTCTCATCATGAACATAGTGCAGATAATATAATGGTGATCACTAATTAACCCTCTCCAATCTTTTTTTCCGGTGCGCGTAGATCGTTTTCGTATAAGGTTTCGATTTTACCCGTGATCTTCATTTCCTTATAAACTAAAGATTTTCGTCAAAAAAAATTTATATAACGCTGAATGTGTATCGGTATTGGGGGTCTATTACAGCTGTTTTCATTATTCCTAGGACACCTGTAAAAAATTAGCCGAATGATTTTTCGGCCGATCCGGTTAAGTTATTTTTTTGGTATAATAATAATAATAATAAATTCAATAAAAATTGATATAATATACGTAATTTAAAATCAGGTGGTTAATATAAATATAAAATTATGCACATCTCTTGTTGAATTCAAAAAATATGAACCACATTTGCTGGCAAATTATTGAAAAAAAATTTAGAAGGCCTATCAACTCGAAAAATTGCAAAACACTTAGATGTTGGCACGTCTTCTATAAGTCGGGTTGTTGTGCATTTTCAAAGATATGGTTGTATTGAAAAACTTCCATCACTTTCAGGAAAACCACGTTCTTTAAACATGAATGATATAAATTATCTTAAAAGTTTTAATGAAAGAAAAACCTGACTGGTACTTGTTTGAATTACAATCCGAGATGGAACTTTGGTTGGACTTAACATTAGTTTTACAACATTTCATATATTTATACATAATTTTATTTTATAAACTTTTTAACAATTTTATGAAAGCTCTTTCATATTAATAGCTCCTCTTTCATGTTAATAATATCCAATTCAGGATCTTTTTCACTATTAATTTCTGAATCAGTTGCGGTCACTTCAGACAAGTCAGATAACTCAAAAGTATTTGTCATGAACGATATAGATTCTAGAGTATCTTTAATTGTTAGATCTACTGTTTCACTTTGATTTTGTTGATCATAATTTTTAACGATTGACGAATTCTTATTTATTATAAAAGCTTATTTGATATTTGAAGCCTTTTTTATATTTCTTGTTAAATTTTATTGGTTGACAAGAACAGTCTTTTCCATAAACTTTTACACAAATTAAACACACCAAACATATTGAGCAAACAAATTTTAATATTATTGACATTATAATAATAAATTATTTGTAGAACAGTATATAGTTTTGATTTACATTTTGCCATTATACATAGTAACTGCATAAAAAGTCTGTGAACACTCGACTTTAAACCAATTACGACACAGGATCAGGTGTAATGTAAAAACAAATCAAACTGCCGGCTTTTTCAAAAAATCGTCCATAACTCATAATTTTGATTATAAAACCACCTTCTGTTTCTTAACAAAAAAAATTCCTTGCGAAATTTTGCTATATTTAAGTGTCGCTTAGTTTTCATAGAGCCCTTATATCTAGTAAAAGGTATGCAAATAGATAGTGAAATATTTAGTGAATCTAAGAATGTGGTGGTTCGACAAAAGTATGGAACTAGAGCTGTTAATCAATTTGTCCGGTCTGTCTTGGTCCAAAGTCTGACGGTCTTTTAAAAAGTCAGACCGGACCGTGGTCCAGGACCGATCAGTATAAACTGATCATTAGACTAATTAAATTACATAAGTTGCATTAGCATTATATTATTACCTGTTATTATTATAGACTTCATTCAAATTATTAGTTTATTACTTGTTTTATTAAATAAATACAACCTCTAAATAAGTATTTAAACCTATCTATCATTATTAAAAATGTAGGTTTAGCTTTAATAAAATTAGATATATATATTTAATTTTATTATTTAAAAATAAAAATAGCTAAAGATTTATCTATAAGGCCATACAAATTTGATTACTTGGTTTTCATAACATGAAACTTTTAAATAGACCCGACCGGCCGGCTTTTTTTTTTAATTTTCATATATAAAATTTTACAAAATTTATATTAATTTTTTTTTAAAAACCCACCCGGTTATTAAAACATATAAAAATTTTTTTTTTGAAATTTTCAAATTTTGACCTGGCCGGGGGTTATGAAAACCAATTAATTAATTTTGCATGGCCTTATTAAAAGCTCAAAAAAATTTTATTTTAATATATAATTCTCATTTATTTATTTTGCATTTTTGGAACAAGATTACTATCCCCAAAATCAAATCAATATACAATTGAAAATTGTACCAAATTAGTATTTGGGTACAACAAAAAAAAAATACAAAATAGACTTATATACAGTAGAAATATAAAGAACCAGACAAAAAAAAAAAAAAAATTCTTAATGAGCGACTCAAGAACTTAGTCACAGTTATGATAATGAAAAATATTATACTCCGCTTCGATATGAATTATAAGCCGGGGATAATGGTTTGTACAGGAGCAACATTGCATGCACTACTGAATGTACCGCATGACCAGCCGGTTTTCGGGTCGCGCAGGCTGAGGCATATGAAACTATATATCAATATAGCAAGAATTAGTTCGGAATTTTTTTTTGTATAAATTATCAACATTAAAGCAAATACCAGAATTCTTGATCGCAAAGACATTTCATGTGCTTGCAAGCGCGCTCATGTTCGATAATTGTACCACATTTGGGGCATGCTCGGCACGATGGGACTCCAGGTACTTTGCTTACTTCCTGGAACCACAATATTAATGAATATTAACATTAAACTATACAATCATGAAAAATAAGGTCATCAGACAAGATATCTTACCTTTAAGGTCGCATTTTTGAGAATGGCTAGACGAGGATCGATGCCTCTACATTGATTGTTATTACAACGATAACCATCAAAACTCTTAACTTCATGCACGCAGTACCAACAAAATGCGAATTCTCCAGCTCCTGGTTTCTTTGAGCATATCAAGCAGATTACCGATGACCGTTTCTTATCTTTTCTCTCACAGTATGAGGAGCACTACCGATGGCGCTTGGAATCAACAAGAGTTGAAACGGAAAGCTCAAAAGTGAATTCTCATCTCACCTGAGGACATTCTTGAACACCGAGAGCGCGGAGAGAGTAATTTTCGCTAATCTTTGACTCAAAATATTGGCGTTCGTCATCAGTAAGCAGACCTATCATGCGGATGTCAATGTATTGCCATTCCGCACGGCAACGAACGTCGTTTGTTGCTTGATGTATATAACGTATAGTGAGAAAACATTTAAAGTTGACGCCAGACACGGACTTGTAAGTACTCACGATTGATATACGGACAAAAAAATTGAAATTTGCCTTCGCTAACAAGAGATCTGCAAAAGGCAGTCAAGGACTCAGGTCCAATAGCATGGCCACATGGCATCTGCGAGGGTTTAAATATTATAAGTCGTTTCCCAAGTCATTTGAAAGATATTTATTACCTTTGCACGTAAATTATCTGGGTCTTCCTCCCAGCTATAGATAAAAATGACCGCTTAGATTGACTGGAGTGAAATCGTCAACAACTGAGAGTGCTTACGTTATCATGTCGGGCTCGTTAGTTAGCTCAACGCCACTATTGGGATCATGACGTTTCTCATCTACGCCACCTGGAAGTCTGAAATGTAAATAAATTTATTGAGCTTGTAAGAAATAAATAAACATAACAAAGTAGATATCATCACTATTTTTCAATCTCCAATGGCGTATTGAACCTTTTTCTTACCTAAGGACCAAATGAATTGTAGAACCCTTTATTATTTTATAGTAATCCATTGTAAAATCATCATCGAGTTGTTTCCCGGCAAAAATGAGACGTTGTTGATTAGTTTCCACACCAGTCTTGACTTTCACCTTTTTCTTAAGATCTATAACCCTGGAGACACCAAATAAAATTTTAATACCAGTTTTATCTGTTTCATTTTCTGGGTTCACATATTTACTTAGTTGCGGAAGTGATTTCATTATACGTAGTCGTCTTTCCTTCGATACCTCTAACGAATATTTGAAAAGGTTCAGCACTCATTTTCAAAGACTTGAGTGAAAGAGAGAGGGCTGCAGGGCGACCAGACATATATTGGGGGCTTAAGTAAAGTTTAATGTTGTCGGATATTTCTAAAATTACTCCATTAGGTATATTCTTTAATTATTCTTTTAGATTTTACTTTCATGTGTACTTGTTTGCCAGCCGTATTTTAATTTTTCCAATTTCGGAGCGTAACGGAGACTTAAAAGGATAAGTAACAAAGAATAGTGCGGACCTAGATAATAAGTACGCACATACAGTACATACCAGGTTGATATGCCACGGTGACTGATAATCGTTCGATTCTCCGATTTCGGTCATAATCGCGTAACAATATTTTTCTTTTCCAAGTTTTTCACACTTTGAATCGCATTAATAATGCTATATTATATATTTGTTACTTAAAAAATATTATCCAATGTTTCTAAGATGTTCTTGGTTCCTTTTTGGTGTTATTTTTTTCAATTAATTTCCTTTGCTGGACTGATGAAGGCAGCTCATTCTTTCAAACTTAGACTTTTTGTACGGTAAATCAACGATGATCATCTATTTGACTCAGTTTAAATTTGTCAGAGTAGGTATAGTTGCTTGTTTACTTAAACAATGCTTTTGGCTTACTTGTCATAACACAGGTAGAAAATTAAATCTTTTCGACAAGTATTTTTCAAAAACCCTTGGTGTGATATGCGACCTTTTCTAAACATTTTCCAACCGTTTAAATTATATGTGAAAGAAATACGGCAAGAATTTAGATAATATAGAAAATATTTGGAAAAGTTGCATATCACACCAAAAATTTTTGAAAGAATACTTGTAAAAAGGTTTATTGTTCTACCTGTGTAAAAATTGCATACTTCTAGAAAAAAAATACAGATCTTATGCATATTAAAAAAAAAAAAACACTCTATAGCAATACAGCAATAACGATAAATTTATTCTCTATATATTTAAAAATCGTAAACCGATTTTCGCATTGTCACGTTAGAACGTAAGAGCTACAATATTAACAATAGTGAAGTGACTGGTTACACCTAATTATCTACAAATTATATATTTTATTATCAATTGCGAAGTTAATTGATACAAATTATTTTACATTTCGGTTTACATCAAGCTCGCCTTAGCATACCAACTTATCCGAATTTTATAGTATACATTATTAGCTCCGGACACAATGCTATGCGTTTACATACAAAGTGTGTAATATATACAGTATATATTTAGTAGAATATATTCTGTTCTTATCCCAGACTTATCAACATCGCACAGATTTCAGCCGAGCAAAAAAAGCCTCTTAAAACATTACACAAAAAATAGGAATTTATGTTTATATACTAAAAAGATTTTTAGGTACAAAATTTGCATAAGTCCTTTTAATTAGTAAAGTTATAAATTATGATGTCAATAGCGATAGCACTTATGTTATTTGTTATTTCAAATTTATCACTTATTATTTATCGGATTTGACTCTTTAAAAGTCTGATAATAACATATATGATACTGAATCAAATATATATCACTACGCCTCCCGGCGTCCCTCGTTAGAAGGGTTAAAAATATATATATGGGCAACCATCAATAGAAATCAAGCAAATCTACATTTGAAAAAAATTAACGCTTTAACTTTCATAGCTCATATCTTGGTGAATTTTAAAGCTATCTTGATGGTTTAATATTCAAAAGAAAGCTTAGATTAGTGATTGGCGTCGTAATCATGTGATGCTAATTGTCACGTGGTACAATATATAAAAATCAACAATTAGATTGTTGATTTTACCACGTGACAATTAGCATCACATGATTACGACGCCAATCACTAGCTTAGATCATAAGCTTTCTTTTGAATATTAAATCATCAAGATAGCTTTAAAATCCACAAGATATGAGCTATGAAAGTTGAAGCATTAATTTTTTTTCAAATGCCATATATATCACATACATATATCACTGATCAGATTTTTCACGAGCTGAGTCTGATGTTGAAAGCCCGAAATCTCATTTTCTCTATACATTTTGGATTCATGTGTTTATTTTATTTCCAATTAATTTTCCTGTAATATCTCTCACAGTGATATTATATCGTTTATTTACAGTATCAATATAGCACATTTTGTCATGTGATTTAGCGCATCTTCACAATTTAATTTGATCGTTGGTCAAAAATTTCATGAAAGGTATTGAAGCCAGTTAGGTTAAACAGCTATGGTTAAGGAATAAATCGCAGCTGAAGGGCAGAAAATTATTATTATATAGTGCCCGGAATGCCGAAAGTTTGTTAATAGTAAAAAATTATATAGTTGCGAAAGGTTTAATGCTTTGCGATATATTAATCAAATTTCAATAATCCACCACTATTAGAACAGAATAATTTGCTATACAACTTTAATTAGAAGCATAGGAAGATTCGCACTATAAAAAACTATATTCTTCAACCGCGATTTGTCTCTTAATTAAATTTTTTAGGCGGTTTCACCTAAGCACGGTCATTTGGACGTGCCTTACTATTAGTCTGTTTAAATTTCTATTTTGGATTTCGGACTAGTAGTCATCTGGACTGGCAACCTTATACACATTTCGGCACCAGTGGCGTTCAACATATATAATTTTATTATGAAATTTAGAATTGGGGGTTAGATACAAAGGTCCAAATTTTGGCCAGCATAAGATTTTGGGAGTTCTGAGCATTTTTACTTAAAACACCCAACCTAATAACTTAGTTTACAACTGTGGTGTTGAATATCGTAAACTCGAATTTTTATAGCATAAAATAGCCATAAATCGTAGTGAAGCTGATATTGCTGAGTTTTAACAATAAACCTATGAAGGTACAAGTTTTTATTATAGGGTGTTCTCAAGCAGCACGCTCGATATGATTTGCTATTGATTAAATAGTGCTCAACCATTATGGCGTTATTAATTAGACCATTTTTGAGAACCGATAGTATTATGTTGAAGACCGATAGTATGGACGATGATATGATTGAAATATGCTCATGTATCTTCCATAATGGATTAATTTATGATTAATTAAACTATTGATTGCAATTGATGCTTGAGCAAACGTCTTTATCATTACTACCATTTAACAATTATTTTTTTTTACAAATAGAAATAAACGATGGATCAACGAAAGGATAAAGAATCTACGACACTTCCAAACCTTCTTTTTTCAGAATTTATTACGAATCAACAGAACAAAAAAACGTGCCTTTTTTTATTTGCGGCGAATATTTTTAGCATAAATAATAAGGTAATAATAATTTGTCAACGTTGATACTGATTTTGGAGATCCATAACAATAACGAGTACTTGAATTATTTTTCTAATCAAAATTTCGACCAATAAACGCAACTCTATGGTAAAAAAAGGACGTCTGGGCCTCTATTGTTGATTGGAATGATAAATACCCTTGGTCGGTTAAGCGAGCTTCCGCTAATAAAATTTTTCTTTCTGACGTATTAAACTTTCGTATTCATTGGAATAATCTATACAATTGATTCGTTAAACTATTTTTTTACTAATAAAAATTTACCCTCAGACCTGTTCCGACGGGTTGATTAAGGAGGTTAAGGAATCAGTGTGTAAAATACCTGTTACTTTATATTTTCGATTGGCTACGTTTATATTTCTTTGAAATCAGTTTAATTCTTAAAACTCAAAAAATCTCACATCTTTTTGCAAAGTGCAATAATTCGTATTATGTAATCAAACTATTTTATATTCAAATTCTGACTTTTAATACGACTTTCAAATCCACAGAATCTCAGACAAGGTTACCAAAACACAATACTAAATGATTTAAATCTGCTTTAAATTGATTTAAAATAAAAATCAGTGATTTTTATCATCGTGATTTAAATAACATGCCATCCCTACACGGGGTATTTATTACGTATACACACTACTTCGAGAGATGGATGGCAATGTTCCAATCTTGATGTAGAATAATTATCGTTATTGGCTGCTTCGAATCCAATAACTATATATTATGTCCAAGTCGCATACACAGGGCATACCGAAAATGTGTATAAGCTTGATTTGATTTGCTAAAAATTTTGGAGATTGCTAACAATCAAATTACGGAATGCGCATTATGTACTAGGAACATAGAAACTATTAAGGTCCGAAGAGCTGTATTCAATTATAGAATTAAGTTTGTTTTCTTATCAACAAACTGGGATGATGCTAGAATTTGGATGATGTTGAAATTACAAAAAATTCTATTGGTTAATCACTAACCAATTTCGGCATCACAATCTAACTGCTAACACACAGACATCGAGTTTGTTCTTCAGACAATAACAATAATAATTACAGAATTTATTTAAGTATATTTGGAATTTCTTATCTAAATTAGGGTTAAGTGATAGGTTTATATAAAATAAATTCTATATACCTTAAATATTAATCGAACTAACTACTAATTCTTGATATGAGAGAAAATTGTTATTTTCTTGTTTTTTACTTGGTGTTGCTCAAGTCCGGATATAAATAATTAGAAATTATAGAGGGGTGGTCTCTAAAAATTACGTACTGATTAATGCCGGCCTAGCCAATTCGTAATTAAGTATCCAAGCTCCGGATCTCAAAAGTTTCTAATCTTGTTAAACAGTAAATTACATACAAATTATATGTAAATTATATCCGTATCTGGACTTGTCGTTAATCCGGACTTATTTATATCCGGTTGTAAAATATCGATATATCCAGATTCAAACTCTCAATGACACGATTTTGTAAAAATTGACGCGATAACATGAAGAGTAAGTACAGTCAGACCTCAATGCGGCTTTACATATTTGTGCTGGTAATACAAACCAAAAAAGCAATATAAAATTTCATCTCCACTATTTTTTATTAGTCGTGAATTTTCGCTTTTTCTTCTTTCGCGGAATACCCAAAATTTGTGTTCTCTGATTGGCCATTTCCTTTTTAGAGATTTGTATTACCGGCACAAATAAGCCGCATTCGATTTACTTATTTGCGCCGGTAACACAAACCAAAAAAGGAAATCAAGTTTGTAAATAAACTAAGTGCGTAAAAATAGAAGTTTAGGATTAGGGCGTTAGGGTTGTGAGCTTTAGCGGTAAGTTAGAGTTTCCTATATGTAAAATTTCATTTCCGTTATTTTTTATTAGTCCACAAAGGTCAATTTAAACACTAGTTTTTTGAGTATTTTCGCTTTCTTCTATGTCGGGGGGCTGATCCGGAATACCCGAAATTTTGGTCTCTGATTGGCCATTTCCTTTTTAGAGGTTTGTATTACCGGCGTAAATAAGTGGATGCCCCTAGTGCACATCCTATGAAAAGCCTCCACGTCTTCTGGCCCAATTAATATTACACCTATAGATTTTGCAATACTTCTCTAAATGCACGTTTGGCTAAATTTTTACATATGGTCCCATCGCATTGCATTTAGAGAGGTACGTATGACTGTAGATCTTAGTTGAAAAATATATATATTTGGGCTAGGTGCTGAGAAAAGGGACGAAATTGACAATTTTTTCAAAAGCTGTTTTTTACATAAATCAATTTAAATAAGTTAGGATCATTTTTCACTTAATACAGTAATACACAAAAGTAGTTGTATAGCTCCTTAAAGTTTGCATTTTCTTATGATTTATTATAAGATTTACAACATAAAAATTGATTTTCTGAAGATTTTCTTTTTGTCAATTTCGCCCCTTTTCTCATTCCTGGATTAGAGTTTTCTCTACAAAAATGATCATTGCTCCTTTTGCTCTATTTCTTGCTTCCGTTCAGGTAGAAGTCATTGGATGAATTTTTCCAATGCATTGCTTATTTATTAATTCATCTGCTATTGTTGGTTTTATCAGTCCATTGTACAAGTTCTTTTCATATGCCTTTTTGGTTATGTGGTCGCAAAACTAGGAATAATCACTTCAAGTGTTCAAGAGGTTAATATTAAAAATAACGTCGTATTAAAAATTTGCGTTAGATCAGATTAATTATACTCTTAACATAGCTTTCTTCCTAACCCTGGTAAAACTCGGTATTTAAATTTTGATTTGACGCAAATTTTAATTTGACTTACAAATAACAAATATTTTATGACAGGGTGAAGCCAGGGTGAATTAACGTTAACATATAAAAACACTATGCTAACGCGGACTTCACCCTAACCCTATGATCAAAGCGGGCTTCACCCTAACATAATATTTTTATAAAGATTACTCAATTTTTTTTTTTCAATCATGCATCGACACAGGGCCTCTCCAAATTAATAATAAAAATATTGATGCCATGTTTCTTGTTTTCGGGCATTGCCGCTAACATTGACTATGAAGTGTTAATACGACTTTGGCCTATACCTACTTTTTATCTTGCCTTCATAACAATTAGTGGTATTCTCGGTGTATTTGGAGGGAAATTATTAAACTTGTCTATTTCAGACACAAAGTTCGTAATGACTGGTATCATGTTTAATGATATAGTAACCCTTTCGCTGAGTATATTAAGAAGTATGAGTCATACTAGTGCAATGCAAATTTTATCTTGGGGAGATGATGATACACCTTTTAATTCGGTTAAGAGGGGAACTTCTTATATATTGTTATCCTCTCTCATTGGTAACTTGCTGCGGTAAATAGTCTCGATTTTTGTGCTACTTTTTATAATGACAATTGGTATGCTTACTAATTTTTGATAGGTGGAGTTTAGGTGCATTTTTGCTTAGAAAAAAAGGTTTATCTGAAGAAATCCCATATTTAGGGACAAGGGCTATGCCAGACAGAAAGCTGCAGTCATTATTTAGAAGGGTTGTCAAGGCTGTCCGTGGTATATTGAATCCACCGCTATGTGCTGCGATATTTGCTTTGGTTGTTGGCACAGTTCCTTCTTTCAAATTTATTTTCTTTAACGAAAGTTCGCCACTTGTTATAATAACAAAAATTACGGAATATGTTGGGTCTATTGCTGTGCCATTGACCCTCGTTACACTCGGTGCTCATTTAAAGAATTTTCCACGTGCGAAAAGTCAAAAAATACTACCAATCGTCTTTTATATAATGTCTTGTAGATTTATAATAATGCCAATAATTGGTATAGTTACGGTTTTATTAACGAGATCATGGTATATGAATGATCCAATGTTATGGTTTGTTCTAATGTTATTTGCAAGTGGTCCAACTGCTGTCAATTGTATGAACTTGGTGCAATTAACCAACACTTTTAAAGAAGAGATGGCTACTTTGTTGTTTTATTCTTATATCACAGTAGTTCCTATGATTACTTTTCTTTTAATGGGCCTGTTATTTATGATTGATAAAACGTTATAGTACATTTAATATATTAATTAAAATATACTGTACATGTAATTCTAGAGATTACGCGATGTATAGGCTATATAAGTTAGCAAATAACTATTTTTTAAAGTAATGATAAAATTTTTAAATTTATAGTACTAATCTTTGACAAAAAAGAGTAGATTTTTAGTAAACTTACAAGAAAATATAATATTTAGTGTTTGCAAATGATGTATATTTTACATGACATGAAGCAATAAGCATTTAATTGTTAAATATAAACTATTAGATTTAACAGCTAAAAATATATTTATAATAAAAATTAGTAGGGTTCAATCTTCAGGATTCCAAATGAAGCAATAAAGTAATGAACTGAAGTTCGAGAAAATTTCCAATAAAGCACCAAAATGCCAACACTGAAAACATTGGTGGCGCAATAATTTGACAAGAAATGGGATATTAAAAATTATATTTTATTTTTAAAACATGGGATCGGTAGATGAATTTTTTTATTCGATTACCAGTTATCTTCAATAAAAATCTTCAAATCCTTTAATTTATATATTTTACCAATGTTTCATGCAAATAAATTTTTAGTACGGATAATTTACCATTTTGTTTAGTTATTTTGTACTATTTGGATTCTCTGACTCGTCAACGGCGTTTAATTTTGAATCCAATTTAGGAATATCAGATGCAATTTCATTAATATTAACGTCATTTACCAATGATTCATCGTTAAATGATCCCAATAATGCGTCTAAATCGGTGGTAGAACAAAACATGTTTTCCATAGTCATAGAGAGATCATCACTGATTATAGGTGTTAAGTTATCTGTTACTTCTAATTCATTATTATTTATCAATGGTAACGTCATATTCAAATCGATCTGGTTTAAATTATTGCTGTCATCAGTTCTCAATGTTGATGAGAAATCAATTTCATTTAACAGTGTATCCATGCCATTGGTGATAAAATCATTATTATTTATCGAAAAATTATTCAGAATCTCATCGAATTGCGATAAATCTGTTATATCTTCATTTTTCTCGACGGAGGATATCGGCGATGTAAAGGTGAAATCGTTGTTATTTTTAAAGGGATTCAAATCAAAAGAAAGATCACCTGAGGTTGATGGAAAGGATTCTATTTCGTTGGTTCCACCATTTCGAATTTCTAAGCTAGGAGTTAAAACTGTCTGTTCATCATTTTGCACAATAAATTTTGAGACATCCTCCGTTTCGAATGGATACGTACACTATATAAAAGAAATCTTATTATGAGTATCGGTGTTTAACAAGTTTAAAAATTACAGTAACATTACTAACCGATTCATTAACACACATCAATAGATCTGAAGTTAAATTAATATGAAATTTTGAAATTTTGGATGAACATAAGGGACATTGAACTTCCTCCGTTTGAGACATTATTCAAAGCCTTAAATACAAAAGCAGAAATATAGTAGCAGGCAATTATTTGAAAAATTTCGCGCAAATCCAAACAACTCAATTATGTAAGCAAACACTAGTGCAATGTACCATGTTTATATCTTTTTCTGGAAAGCTTCGTCGTTAGAGGTCAAAAATAAGAACAGAAGAAATGTAAATTATTTAGATTAAACACTTACCGTTACGTAATAATTGTTGATATGTGTAACCACGACAGGGACCTGCAAAAATTTGGAATATTTGTAAAAATTTATTCGATTCCGAATCTTCACGACAGACATGCCTAAAATTTCCGACTAGACATTATTCTCGTAATTACTAAATAGTTAATTTTTATTGGTCAGATCACATGAAACCTCAAAAATTTGGATATCGGTGCTAAAATTTTTGCTGATCGACATGCAGATCCCGGTAAAAATAAAAATTTTAAAAACTTTGAGCGAAGATAACTCGACAACTACCTGCTTGAATCTGATAAAACTTTATATTTGAATTCTATGGATTCATAGAATTCAAATAAAAAAAAACTTCATCGAATTTAGCCATGTGGCTATCGAGATATCTTCGCTCAAAATTAGAGAGCCTATTAAAATAGAAGCTGCGCCAAATTTCTCCTAACTTTGAGCAAAGATACCTCGATAACGATCTGGCCAAATGCGATAAAACATTTTTTATTTAAATTCTATAGATTCATAGAATTCAAATAAAAAAAGCTTTATTGAATTTAGCCATGTGGTTGTCGAGATAACTTCGCTCAAAATTAGAGAGCCTATCAAAATAGAAGCTGTGCCAAATTTCTCTCTAACTTTGAGCAAAGATATATCGATAATGGTCTGTCCAAATTCAATAAAACATTTTTTCTTTCGATTCTATGGTTTCATAAAATTTAAATAAAAAAAAGTTTATTGCATTTAGTCAAGTGGGTTTCGAGATATCTTCATTCAAATTTAGAAAGAATATTTGGCATAGATATGCATTTTGATTTTCTTTTGAGCGAAGATATCTCGACAAGCACTTGATTAAATGTGATGAAAATTTTTTTATTTAATTTTATGAATCCAAATAATGAAATAAAAAAATTTTTATCAAATTTGAACAGACCGTTGTCAAGATATCTTCGCTTAAAGTTAAAGAGAAATTTGGCACAGCTTTTATTTTAATAGGCTTTTTAATTTTGAACAAAGTTATATCGATAATCACATGGCTAAATTTGATGAATTTTTTTTATTTGAATTCTATGAATCTATAGAATTCAAATAAAAAAGTTTTATCGAATTTGGCCAGACCATTATCGAGAAATCTTCGCTCAAGTTAGGAGAAATTTGACGCAGCTTCTATTTTGATAGACTCTTTAATTTTGAGAGAAGATATCTTGACAACTACATGGCTAAATTTGATAAATTTTTTTTTATTTGAATTCCATAAATCCATACAATTCAAATAAAAAGTTTTATCAGATTCAAGCAGGTAGTTGTCGAGTTATCTTTGCTCAAATTTTTATTTTTACCGGGATCTGCATGTCGATCAGTATCAAAAAAGTAGGAACAGGTGTATCAAAAATGAAAGTTTTGCCTCAGAGCTTGATTCAAGCCACACTGGTTAGGTAATTATGTGACAGGTTAATATGACCCAAACTACCCCAGTATTGCCACAAAACTTTCATTTTTGATACACCTAAACCTACTTTTTTGATGCTAATTGACATGCAAATCCCGGTAAAAATAAAAATTTTAAAAACATTGAGCGAGGATAACTCAACAACTACCTGCTTTAATCTGGCAAAACTTTATACTTAAATTCTATGAATTCTTAGAATTCAAATAAAAAAAAAATTATCGAATTTAGCATGTGGCTATCGAGATATTTTCGCTCAAAATTAGAGAGTCTATCAAAATAGAAGCTGCACCAAATTTCTACTAACTTCGAGTGAAGATATCTCAATAACTATCTGGACAAATTCGATAAAACTTTTTTTATTTGAATTCTATGGATTCATAGAATTCAAATAAAAAAAATTCATCAAATTTAGCCATGTGGTTGTTGAGATATCTTCGCTCAAAATTAGAAAACCTATCAAAATAAAAGCTGCGCCAAATTTCTCTCTAAATTTGAGCGAAGATATCTCGATAACGGTCTGTCCAAATTTAATAAAACTTTTTTTCTTTCAATTCTATAGATTCATAAAATTTAAATAAAAAAAATTTCATCACATTTAATCAAGTGTTTGTCAAGATATCTTCTCTTAAAAAAAATCAAATGCGTATCTACGCCAAATTTTCTTTCTAACTTTGAGTGAAGATATCTTGACACCTACTTGACTAAATGCAATAAACTTTTTTTTATTTAAATTTTATGAATCCATAGAATTGAAAGAAAGGAAGTTTTATTGAATTTGGACAGACTGTTAGCAAGATACCTTCGCTCAAAGTTAAAGAGAATTTGGCACAGCTTCTATTTTGATAGGTTCTCTTTATTTTGAGTGAAGATATCTTGACAACCACATGGCTAAATTCGATGAATTTTTTTTTATTTGAATTCTATGAATCCGTAGAGTTCAAATAAAAAAGGGTCTACCAAATTTGGCCTTATAGTAATCGAGATATCTTCACTCAAAAATTTGGCACAGCTTCTGTTTTGATAGACTCTCTAATTTTGAGTGAAAATATCTCGATAGCCACATGGCTAAATTTGATGAATTATTTTTATTTGAATTCTATGAATCTATAGAATTCAAATATAAAGTTTTATCAGATTAAAGCAGGTAGTTATCAAGTTATCTTCGCTCAAACTTTTTGAAATTTTTATTTTTACTAGAAACTGCATGTCGATTAGCATCAAAAAAGTAGTTGCAGGTGTATCAAAAATGAAAGTTTTGCAGTATTACCACCAAAATGTTACAGTCACATGACAATTTTTGTGGCATAAACAAATTAGATTTCAGGATCAGGTGTAATGTTACATGATCAGGAAAATTCAAAACAAATATTCACTTTGTTAAAAATCACTTGTTTTTCAAAAAGTAATATAAGAAACTACCTTTAGTGCTTTAACAAAAAGTTTTCCTTGAGCAATTTTATCTATAGCTCTTACTTACTCTAACCTAAATTCTAACTTTAACCATAATCAAACCAAACTTAAAGAATTTTTCAATAGTCACGTGACTGTAACATTTTGGTGGTGATACTGGGGAAGATAAATGACCCAGGTTAAAATATAATTTTCTTATAAAATAATAAATCTAGTTATTTAAAAAAT